AAACGATTCAGCCGGTTTCGATTACGACAAAATGTAACATTGTGCTAATATACTATTAGAAAAACGATTCAGCCGGTTTCGATTACGACAAAATGTAACATTGCTTACTTTAGTTCCAAAAGTTTAAAAATCCACGGAGGAAACGCGACATGTCTTCATCTTTAACTTTTCGGGAGAACGATAGAAAAAGTCTATTGAAAGCAGTTTAAATGTTTTTTCAATGATACCGAAACCGTTTTTAATCTTTACTTTTTGTTCTCCCTTAGCAGATATAACGCTCATTCTAGTGTCGTGTTGAAACCTGATGTTACATACATCTTGCTTTGTGAGAAGAAAGAAACCAACGGGAATTTAAACAACTTATACTAAGAAGACTAGTAGATTTTCGATAAGCTAGCATCTCCAGAGGGGATAAAAACAGAATAAAGTATTATTTTCTCTCATCCCCTCCCTCCAGTGGAACAGCGGTATGCCTGCGGACTTACAACGCCAGAAACTGGGCAGAGCACAGATAGCCCATTGTGTAACTTTGTGTTTAATTGCAAGCAAGAAAAATAATCTCTCACTTTTATTTGGATTTAATATATTTTTGTTAAATAGTTCCATCTAGGAAAATGTATACATTTTATTATTATTATTTCATAGATAAACCTCCTAAAATGATCAATTTAAAAGCTGGAAAATACAACAACTATTTATAATTTCATATCATGGAAACTTACTTGCAATAGTGATTCTTAAGTCTTTGTTAGCGTACTGGCTTCTCTTATGTAGTTTTGATTTAGACACTTCATGGTAAGTTAGATTCAACGATAAAAATATTGTTATATTGTTGTAGATATTTTTAATCGATTTATTATTTTGAACATTTACAAATGTTTCAAAAATAAATGTTGATATTTTTATCTCAGAAAATAAAATATCTTAGAATTAATGTTTTAAGAACCCAAAGCTATATGCATTAGTACAAAGCATGGAAGAGTTAGTTCAAGAAAAAATGGTTACATTAAACTCGGGTAACGATTGTTTTCTTGTATGGAAGAGTTAATTAAAAAAATACAGTTACATTAAACTCGGATAACGATTGTTTTCTTGTATGGAAGAATTAATTAAAAAATACAGTAACATTAGACTTGGGAAATGATTGTTTTCTTGTATGGAAGAATTAATTAAAAAATACAGTTACATTAGACTTGGGTAATGATTGTTTTCTTGTATGGAAGAATTGTTTGTTTATTTGTTTCTAATTTCATGCAATGTTATTTGAAAACTATCTTCGCATAGATGAATTAACAGTAAATACAATTATTATAGAGACTTTGGTAACAAGTGCTTCTTGTATGGATGAAACGTTAATACTGTGAACTTTACATTACTTAACGAATTTTGTATCCATCTCGTGGTCTTCGCTATTAATGTTCTCCAGAATTACTTGCAAATATTAAAATTACTGCAAAGTAATTTTGTGAGCTAAGTGTTAAATATTGTAAATCAAGAAAATGTGACTTGTAAAACATTTGTAGAAAATAATATATGTATTTATTCAAATATTTTAAATATTCCTTTCATTGTATTAACGCTATTTAAACACCATTATATTAAGTCTACAGAACGTAGTGTCTTTAGAACGTGAATATTTTACTCTATGTTGGCATGATTATCATGTATTTGATTAACTTACCAATATAGTACGAATATCTATCGTATAGAAACAGAAGAAGAAGAACAATAAGAACATTTCTGAACGCTTTCTTCGTTAATATGGTTGAATTAGTACGTACTAATATAATAAGTTATTGTGGGTACTAATTCACCCATTTCAACCGGAAATTTAAATGTTTTTGCTATTCTAATCCGTTTCTTCTTCTTCTTTCTTTGTTATGATAAATTGATAAAAAGTGCAATTGTTTCCATCGAACCTATTATCTTCTTGCACTTTTGAAAAATACCTGAATTAAAAACGGCATTGTCGTAATATGAAATATTATCCTATTGTTACGTAATAAAAATACCATGACAGTACAAACTAAGTTAGCTCTCATCACTTGATTTATTTTTTCTAGTTAACGCGTTTGCCCCCCCCCAAGTGGCACAACGGTATGCCTGCGAACTTATACCACTAAAACTCGGGTTTCGATACCCGTGGCGTGCAGAGAGCAGATAGCCCTTTGTATAGCTTTGTGCTTAACAACATCAATAACTCTCATCATTTCAACTAGATCAATGACAAGGAATGTAACCCAATGGAATTTTGTATAACTTTAAATACAGAACGAACATTGCTTCAGAGCTTCAATCTTGAAATGCTTGGTTTCCTTCGATATTTTAGATTTAAGTTACTTTTAAACGTTAATATGTTTCGTAATGGAAAGACGTGTTAAACTCTCCTTTATGACCATTGAATTGTCTTTAAGAAAGACAATGGGGTAGTCTTGATCTTTGGAGGTATTCTATTACACAATGTTTCATGATTTGGTACACTAATATCTTTGGCCTATGATTGATTACAAAGCTTTAAAGCAAATGTGTAAGAGAGAGATGCGATTGTAATTTGCAGACAGAGTAGATATTAATAGGTTATAACACCTTTATTGCTAAATAAAGAAGTCATGTAATGAGGCATTTTTACCAAACTGTGAGAATACTTGGTTTGGTTAGTTTGGGATCTACGCTAGCCGTTCCTAATTTAGCTGTGATAGACCAGAGAAAAGACAACACCTACCGCCAACTCTTGAGCTACTCTTTTACAAACGAATAGTGTGATTAACCGTAACATTATGACGCCCCCAAGGCTAAAAGGCAAGCATGTTAGGTGATGGGGATGCTTTTAATTATTATAGAAAATTTGCAGTGTACTAGAGAATAGAAATAATTAGATACACCGCATTATAATCCTCTAACAAAGATTTTGTAAGGTTTAGAAATAAATGTATGAAATGCATGTGTGTAGATATATATACACATTTTTGTTCAACTTGTGTATCTAAATACATCTGTATATTTGTGTATTTGGTAACGCTTCATTGGCATTAACAGAATAGTACGTGACAGTTTCCTGATACAACACTCAATGTTATACAGTTAGTTATCAGAACACAACCTGCTACTTCCAAGACAACGTAGCTTTAATGTAATCAAATAGGTAAATGTTTATATAAGTGCCTTTATTTTGAATTTTACAACGGTGCTCTTAGAGTATCTTTTAGGTTGTGATTTTTTTAAAATAATTAACTGTTAGGTAAGACAGGCCGCCATTTATTTATTATTTTCAAATTAATTGTTAGTTAAGACAGGCCGTCATTTATTTTTTATTTTTTTCAAATTAATTGTTAGTTAAGACATGTCTAATTTCCAAGGACAAGGAAATGAACATGTTTGACATCCTTCTCTGAAGTTTCCAAGGATTCAAAAATAGATGTGATAAATATGAAGTACGTGATGTTTCCATGAAGATACTTTTTTATTTTGAAGAGTTTCATATACATCGTCACTTAATCATATAAATCTTGCAGTTTGCTACCAAATTACCTCAAATACGCAACAGAAGAACTTTTAACATAAATACACTATGTTTCATTAAATAAGATAATGTGTAAGTAATTTGGTTGTCAAACACATCCAGACGTCATAAAGAAACCACAACTTACTTTTATCACTTGGATTTCTGCTTGTCGAAACCGTGTTTCAAGAATACCCCAGCGGTAAGTCTCTTCGGATTTACAACACTAAAATCAAGGGTTCGATTCCCATCGGTGGACACAGCAGCTAGCCCGATATGGCTTTGAAATAAGAAAACACATACACAAGATCCGATAATTTTGCGAGGTCAGAATAGATGACCAGGTCACCTTCTGTTTATTTAAAGCAAAGTCACCGAGAGAACTCATCATTTGGATGATAGAATTATTTAAATCAGCATGCCAGGATTTTGGTTAAAATTTCTATGTGATTCTGTTAACAGCTATATTATCTAGTAGCATGTACAGATTTTGATACAGAATATACAAAATCTTAGTATTAAAGGCTAGTAACAGAATGGCTAATTTACTGTCACGTCAAACATGTAGGGTTAAAAGTACACTGTATATACATTGAATATTCCACTGCTTTAATACATCAGTTAGAATTAATTTCGCTAAATGTAACCTATAAATAACCTGAATAATTTTATATATAATGCATTAGCTGTAACTGAGTATAAAATGATGTACGTTCTAGTTATTGAATATCAGATATTATTAACACTGGTCTATCGAAATAAGCCGCCCCCTGTTGTGAGAATCGAGAGCTGAAGCGAAAATTTCACGCCGTCTTATCGAACATTGTGGGAGGAGTTAAAAAATCAAGTAAACGTAGATACATAGGTACAATTAAGAAGTACTACAAAGATACCCTTCCTTTTGACTAATTATGATTTTGATGCATTCACAAGTAATCCAAACTGTGTACGCTAGTTTTAAGTTTGTATGTCTATATCGGGCTTAATAAGACGCATGTTTATCATAATAGATGTTTGAAAATAAAGGTTTTCAAAATGATATTTTAATGAAAAAATACTTAACCAACAATAAAACTAATTTGTAGCTTGACGACATAAGTTCTATATTTAGTGCTGCTGTATTTTCTAAGATATGATAAATACATAACTCTGTGGTAAAGATATTAGAGATAGAAAAATAATATTAAAATGCGTGAAATATCGCAAATACCATAATATTAATTCTCTATTACACATATTGCTTGTACCGTATTGTCCCGATTTAAGGGCGATATCGAATATAAGGCGACCCCATTTTCAGAAACCATGAGAAAGAAAAAACTGGGTGTTCTTTTTTTAGATCCGAAAAACCAATACTGTAACTAAACAGCCTGCAGGTGGATTAGTTGCAAGAATTAGTAATGACCTTGAGGAATCATCTTGCCCGCATGTGTAGACGGGTGCTATCTGGACATTCAGGAATGCGACAGGCTAGAGTAGGGGAAAAAGAGTCTGTAATCGGCCGTGATTATAAGGTGACTATGAATTTTACAACCTAATTATCAATCAAAAAACGTCGCCTTATAATAGGGCCAATACGGTAACTTGGAAGAGAGCATTAACTAGTATAGTATATCGGATATTAAGATGTATTTTCTCATTCCATTTAGTTTACTGGAGCTCCATCTTTTATCTTCTAACTATACATTTATAAAGAATTGCAACCCTGAATTAGAAATGAAATTACCTTTGCTACAAGCTAGTGGTAGAAAAGCTGGTAGATGTGGAACTCCTGGGCTTAAACTAGAAATGTGTCTAACGAGTTGTAAGAGCAAAGTATCTCAGAATAAGTGTTTTAAATGTTTTGACGAAATTTGGCTCTAAGAGTACAGAATGTAGATCTTTAAAAATTCGCATTCATCTATTTCATTTGAAACAGAAAAAAGAAATGTACTTTATAAGTACTATTAAATATATCAGTCTAATTGATTTGGAATCTAATATTGAAATATTAAAAATAAAATTCTTATATGTGATGTAGGCCTATTAATCATGTGTTTTAACATGTTTTATATGCTAGCGCAGTCTGTATATTACACATAACACATTTCATGTCTTTTCTTTATGAATGCCCAATAGACAAAGCCCCCCCCCCTCCCCGTGGCACAGTGGTATGTCTGCGGATTTATACTGCTAGAAATCGGGTTTCGATACCCGTGGTGGGCAGAGCACAGTTAGCCCTTTATGTAGCTTTGTGTTTAATAACAAACAGCAACAACAAATTGACAAAGCAATCGTCAAGTTCGTTTCACAACTTATAAAAAAAAATATAAGTTTTTATGAAATAAAAATCGTGTAACCCTAATTGTATGAATTCTTAGAAAGTTTGGGCCCAGTGTAAAACTCTTAATGACATTTTTCGCTTTATAACAACGCAGAAATGCATAGAATTAGCGAGGCTACGTGTGCCCAGTAAATAGTATAACTGGACGTTAATATCAACGACAAACACCTATAAGTATAGAAAGCTGAATTACTTATAATCAATCTACTTTTTCACTTACAAGCCTTCTATAAATCAGGGAATAAGTAATATTAATCAGCGATATAGTGTCCTTTGCTATGATGTTAGCATGTTAAATATTGAAGCCAAGAATTTCCAAATATGAAAAACTCAACATTGTGTTAAATTCATCGATTTTAGTTCTATTTATTCTATTTTTTCATATCTGATTAATTATATGTCTGTGTGTATGTCGGGTTTAAATCAAGGAAAAACGTTAAGTTTAAGTTTGCTATGAGAAACGGAGTTTTAAGCAGAATGAAACTCGATTACTGACTAGCTATTTGATAAATCGTTAATTTTGATTATCTCTCCTTAAACTCAGCTGGACTAAAGCGAAACGCAATCACTATCTGAATTCGTTTCAGCCTCGCTTACTCAAATAGCTAAACATTCCTTTCTTTTTTTGTTGTTGTTGAGTTATATCCTTGTACAACGGTTCGCTCTGATGAGGTTGCTAGTAATGATGTTGAATGTTGCGTATCGCGAAAAACAAACAAACAAGCAAAATCTAATTTAGTAACACAATATGACGTTTTCCATAAAAATGATTTCGTGCTGTAAAATTACCAGCACTTTTTTCCCAGTTCCTGGTATTACAATTAGCTAACTTAACTTTTAACGACGAAATTGTTACACTGAGAGCACAAAGAGAAAATATTAACTCGCGTGTTCGTACAGGTATATTAGATAGTAAAAACCAAATTAAAGACACTGCACTGGTTAAATTGCCAGGTTTTTGAAGTCATGATTACAAGTAACACTAGTAACAATAACAAAAAGTAATCTTGCACTGCAAATAAAATATCAAATCGGTGTAAACAATATGTAAACCAAACAGATTCGAAACTAATTTCCTGCTTGGGTTAATGACAACTAATCTGTAGCCGAAACTCAACCGAACTTTGTGGTTTTCCGAATAATCATATAAATTCTGAATAAACTTCTGATAAATAATCAGACAAAAGACGACGCTGGTTATAAACTCCATAATGATAACATTTTATTTCTTCACTATCCTATATCTAAGAAGCACAATGTATCAGTAAAACTGATAGACTAGAAAGTCACCCACGTTCCACCAACAGTAAAAAAACGTGGTCGTTTCTGTTAAAACGTTGCTCATTTTGTGTACATACAGAAACTCCTGTTTTGTTCAAATAAACCGTTCATTAAACTGATATATATTTTGAGTCACTCTATTATGTAAATCATATAAGTCAGATCATTAGGATATTTTCTTTTTCCTTCAGTCTGTGAAATAAATCGTTTGATTAATAGCTAATTATGTTTCTAATAATTGAAATTCTGTTGCACGTGGAGTTAGATTGCATTCTGTACAGGCAGGATGTGACCCAAACAATCATGTAAATTCAAATAATTTCGTGACCTATTGCCACAAAAACGTGCTCTACATTTAGGGGGTTAAGGGTCCGCTATAACTTAACGAGATAAGAGTTGATGGTGAGTGATATTGACTAGCTGCCTTCCCTCTAGTCTATCAATTCAAAATTATGGGTAGTTATGAAAAATAGCCCTTGACTAGCTGAAAACAAACAAAAAGTCCATTCCGTACATTCGTCTTATTCACACTCTAAGTCATCCTTTAAAACATTGAATACAACGCACATTACATGAAATGATGCAACTAATGGTACATCCGGTGGCTCAGCAGAAACTTGGGGGACTTATAACACTAAAATTCAGTCTTAGGTTCCTGCGGTGGACACAATAAAGATAGCCCATTTTGCAGATTTGCGCTTAAGCAAACCTACAAGAGCCTGTCGACAGGATGAATAATTAATGTCTCCATCCTTAATAGACATTCAGTAGTTTCTATAGAGTAGCGATGTGATTAGCCACATCACAGACATCATTAAAGTAACCCAATAAGTATAGACCCGTAACACCTCCATGAATATTCGAGTTGACATATATGATACTTGTTTATATGAGCATACTGAAAACGATTTAGTATTATATTTCAAAGGAATCTGAGCAGTTTCGGATGAGGTAAGTTCCTAAATCACGTTTCTATGTGCCGTAACCTGTGCTTTAATTACTAAATCTATTTGCTGTATTTCACGAAACATTGATCTAACTGTATGGATTATATCAAGTCAATCTGCGTTTTGCGTTTCCACTGAACGTAAAATGTATAGTGTTGCCTCGATAGACTGACGACCGAACCAACAGTTCCTGGTGGTTAAGTAATGCGAAGGCTATAACTAACTAACTCTCACTCGACGAGTATTATGATGTCAGAAATGTTTAAACAGAACGAAGTAACTACAATTAGTAAAAGCCTTAGTGTTGCCTCGATAGACTGACGACCGAACCAACAGTTCCTGGTGGTTAAGTAATGCGAAGGCTATAACTAACTAACTCTCACTCGACGAGTATTATGATGTCAGAAATGTTTAAACAGAACGAAGTAACTACAATTAGTAAAAGCCTTAGAAGATATAGAACTGGATGCCTATGCCGATCAAAATACATGGATGCTACAGAATTTTGATACTCTGCATAAAGTTATCTTTTTATTTATTTGTAAAAGTTTGAAGAATATCATTAATGAGATGAATATCTTAGCTTGGTGTGCCTGATATATTACAGTTCATGAGCAAATACAGAATGAATTGTTACTCTGCTTTGCCTCTAATGAACACGGGTTGTTGTTTTTTTCGTGTGATTTACTGACTATTTTGATTTTCCAGGTTTCTTTTTTACTCTACTATCTCCGTGTATATAGATATGGGTCGGGGTATGTTTATGAATAGATGGATGAATGAGTGTGTTTGTGTGTTTATTGATGTCACTATGACGACCATTTTGAGAATTTGGAATCACGTATGGTGTTATAAGATGATGAAAGAAACTTTTCTAATTATCAAATAAAAAAAATGACACTTGTATGTAGTATTAGACTTTTCGAATATATCTTATTAGACGATGAACAAATAAATTATCCAGTTAGCTAAGAAAGCATTAATTTATCTAGTACAGATACTTGGTACATTATATATATATATATAATCGTTTAATCCGTCTCTCCACAGCCGGTCGTACACCATCTGACGACCGTGCATCAGAAGTGTAGTTTCCATTGAGAAAAGGTTCTGTTATTAGGCTATCACGTACAACTCACATTATATCTTCCCTGTAGATTTTCCATAATCCATCTAATGTATGAGAAATCGGTTTCCCGGTGCCCATTTCAACAGTCCGAAAACACAGAAATTCTTGCTTACACGCAGACGAAGATCTTTTTTGATTATGGTGTATACTTTTGTCCGAGACAAGTGGACAGACTTTACCAACGACCTTTGTAGTCGTGAATTTTTACCTGTTCCAAAACCACGCGTCTGGCTTACCACATCTGGGGTACGACTTTTTGCAGATCTCATTCTGATTGGTCCTGGTTCCCCAAGATGAGCCATATTCTTTTATCTTCCAGTGACATTAAGTAGAAGGGATTACACCATCTTGGAAATGCTAAATACCTGATCTAAGCGCATCTTTACGATCTGAGTGTATAAATATTTTGCTTTGGGAAGGGTTGTTACATATTATTTTAAAAAGCAATCAATTTTGGTGGTATCAAACTGCTTACGAAACGACAAACTCAAGCAGTATCTAATTTCTATTTAAAATGATATATTCTGTCTGACGAAGGGCGTCTTCCCGAAACGTCGCATAAAATAGATTATTAAAAAAAAGTTTCTATGTAGATTCATTATTACTTTTATCTGAATTATTTTTGATTCGGTGTTGAATATCAAAGGGTAATTCTGATATATTTCGTTCCACCGCGACTTTACCTCAGCTGTTATGTGACTTGCTGATTTGCATATTGAAGACATAACACATTCAAACTTTTGTGATAGCAGCGAGATGTGTTAAACGAATTTCCTATTTTAAGTAAGTTTATTGAGTAAAGCTTTACATATATATATATATATATATATATATATACGTACTATTAACTTTAAAACTAAATTTAGTA